GCCATAGCCTTTCCCATATCCCATATACATATATACATACATATATATATGCGTATATAACGCCGTTTGAATCATATTTACATATATATATGCATATATAACACTGTTTGAATCATATTTCGGCCACTGTGGGCAACAACATCATCATATCTCAGCTGATCAGGTGGTGGTGCATATATAACGCCGTAACCTTTTCCCATATCCCATATACATATATTTACATATATACGCGTATATAACGCCATCTGGTCATGGGTCAATGCACATGAATACAATGCATGAAAAGTACGTCAATAAAATCATTCGGAATGTCATAAGACCATTTTTCCTCTGAGTAATATCATAAAGTAAACTCTTTTCAACTTTCGTATTTTTTCTGAGACCCATGAACAGATGATAAAATATTATGATACACGGAAATTCAAGAACATAGATATCTTTAATACTTCTATGAATAGAATCATTCATGGAATTTGTGCATTTGCACGTTTCGTTCGTATCGCATGGATCCTGCCAGAAGAAAGAAGGAATAGCCTTAACATACCTGAGATAGGGAAAAAAATCCGTATGATATTCTTGGAAAAAGTTTCACCGTACCCCTTTAGAACCACAAAATTTGTACGTTGTTAAGCATCTAAAAAAAACTTCTCGTTGGATTTTTTTGGATTCGAAAACATCATGTTTAAGCTTGATAATGTTCTGGATTTTAAGAATTTTGGTTGAAAGATGTAAGATAGCTAACGTTGTTTTTTGGTTGGAAGGGGATTTTGATGTAAGAATGATTGCCATTCTTATGGATTAGTCTTAAATATGGAATATCTTTTAAAATGGAGTGAAATGTTGTTTTTGCCTAACTTTGCAAAGTTTTTGCATTTCTCCAATAAAGATATCAGTCATCCTCACGTGTTACCAAGATAGCATTTTATCTAAATTACTTATTTGTATGCTTTGCCACCTTGGCTAAGCTTATGCCAAGTGGCAATCCCCAAAAAAAAAAGCTCTTATACAATTAATACCATAATTATCTCCACCATTAATCGGTTATCCACATAATTGAGAATTATCTCAAATTACTTAAAATACTACTTAATTTTATAACACCTTATACACCTTATTATCATGGTCATGAGGTACCTTGTATGGTACTAGTCCATAAATACCGGGTATTTTAGCTCGGACCGTATTTTATCCCAAAATGCCAAACTTTGACAAAATTCGTTTTCTTAGACTTGCTCCCCCTTTCACCTTCATGAATTTACTAATCACTTGTGAAATAGCATGATTCTTATAATTCCCAAATAATCTTTTCCTTGGACTGATGTCAATTACCTTACGACAAATTCAACATAAAATACTGCAGGGTGCAACATTGTCGTAACTTATTACTGCGAAGCGCAACATCACCGTAATGTAATACTACAGGGTGCAACACTGTCGCAACTTATTACTGCAAAGCGTAACATCTTTGTAATGTAATACTACTGGGTAGAACACTGTCGTCACTTAATACTGCAGTTCGTAACATTATCGTAAAATATTACTGCAGAACATAACATTGTCGTAATATAGTACTGCAGGATGTAATATTGCAGGGTGTAACAGGCATCACCCTTCGTGCATTAAAACTCTCACAATATGGTACGACATCACCCTTCGTGCATTAACTTTCAGAATATGGTACAACATCACCCTTCATGCATTAACACTCAAATATGATACGACATCACCTTTCGTGCCTTAATACTCTCCCTTACCAGATAACAATGAATATATAACAACATGGAGATAGAATGAACAAGAACAAGACTTACGTCAAACAGCCCCACAATACCAACCTCAATTTCAGAAACAATATTCAATTATCACAGATAGTCTATAAACGCGGAAAGAACGATTAATTTAGTAATTAACTAGTCTAAGCATGGATACCATGATCAAGAAAAGCATAAATCACAAGAAACAAGTCCCACCCGCATGCTTTAACCCAATAACAACACATAAGTACTCGTCACCTCACATATACATTTTACCCAACATTTAAACAAGTAGCAAATAGGCAAACAAGTCCTAATCCCTCAAGTCAAGGTTAACCACAACACTTACCTCAGTCCAAAGATCGACTCAAAGTTTAACCACAACTTTGCCTTTCAAAGAAGCCTTCGAACCAACAAAATCTAGCAAATTACCAACCAAAGGATTCAAAATAAGCCTTAGGAACTATCCACGATTGCAAAAGATTCAATTTAGGTCATTATTGGAAAAGTCAACAAAAGTCAACTCTCGGGCCCGCTTGGTCTAAAACCAAAATTCGGACCAAAACCCGATTTTCCATTCACCCCCAGCCCGATTCTATAATTTTTTTTGAAATCCGACCTCAGTTTGAGGTCTAAATCTTAATTTTACAAAAAACTCTAATTCTATCCAAACCCCCAATTTCCACCATGAAAATACTAGATTTTAGGCTGAAATGTTATGAAATGTAAAGGAAGATTGAAAGAAAATAGGCTAGAATCAGTTATCAATGATTTGGGGAAGAAGGGCCCTTGGGAAAATTGCCTCTAAGGTTCTATAGATTTGAAAATTTTAAGAATGAGAGAAAATTCCGTCTAACTCATATTTAACCAGTTACAGATATCACAATTGCGAACCCCGCAAATGCGAAGTCCCAGTATTTCTGCTATCATCACAATTGCAACAATTTGTTCAAAATTGCGAACAATTGCCACCCCGCAAATGCGACCATTTGATCGCAAATGCGATCACAGTCCCCCAGCCCTACTTTGCAAATGCGAAGGATTGGTTGCAAATGCGAACCATGTGGTGCCCAGCTATTCTTCGCAATTGCAAGGAAATAACTCACAATTACGAACCTTACAGGGATTCTGCAATGTCGCAAATGCGAGGCCTGACTTTGCAATTGCGAGGTCTGAGGCCTGCACTAGAACTGAAGCACACCAGCTATGTTTTTTTAAGTCCAAACAACTCCGCAGCCTATCCGAAAATCACCCGAGCCCTCAGGGGTTCCAAGCAAAACATGAACACAAGTCAAAAATATCGTACGAACTTGCACGCGCAATCAAATCGCCAAAATAACACATAGAACTACGAATCGAACACCAAATCAATCGAAATTTACAAGAAAACTCATGAACTTCTATTTTAACAACCGGACGTTCGAATCACGTCAAACCAACTCCGTTTCTCACAAAATTTGACAAACAAGTCATAAATATAGTAATGGACCTATACCGGGTTCCAGAACCAAAATATGAACCCAATATCAATAATGTCAAACATTGGCCAAACTCTCAAAGTCATTAAGCCTTTAAACTTCAATTTTTCAACAAAATACGATAACTCGAGCTAGGAACCTCCGAATTTGATTCCGAGCATACGCCCAAGTCCTAAATCACGATACAGATCCACAGGGATCGTCAAAATACTGATCCGGGTCTGTTTGCTCGAAACGTTGACCGAAGTCAACTTAAATGGATTTAAAGGCAAAATTTTATATTTATTAGTTTTAACATAAAAGCCTTCCAATAAAATATCTGAACTATGCACACAAATCGAAGAAGGCTAAAATGAGATATTTGAGACTTCGAAACACAAAACTAGATTCTAAAACTCTTGATGACCTACACATTCTCTAAGTATCCGTGTAGACTTAGCGGAAAAAGGGTATACGAAAAACTACTAAAGTAGCACTAGTAAACTTCGTGCGTGATCAGGAACCTGCACTTTATTTTCAGTCGATCTAAAGAATGAGATAACAATTACCAATTATAGTGATTCCAAGTCCCAACCTACTAAATGTTACTCCTTTCCTCTCAAATTATTAGGCGTTTTTTTCTTTTACACGTTCCTTAAAAAAAATAAAGTAATTTTGGACTATTTTTTTTATTTATAAGATATAATTCCTCTAAATTTAATATTTTTACTTTATTTATGTGTTATCTCCATTTTAAAAATAATTACTATTAACGATAAAATAAAAGAAATATAATTAATTCTGTCTTGAACTTCTAATATAACAAATTATTTGAGACAACTATATTTAAAAATTACTGCCGATAACTTGAGCCAGAGGGAGTAATCTTTGTAGCATTCACACATTTTCTCATTCCACAAGTTTTACAGCTAGAAGTTTTAAATATTCTTAATCCCCAAGCGCACCTACTCGAAAAAGCAAATTGAACGTGTTTTGATTCCACGCATTCAACATTTACTTTTTTGTTTTGTTCACTTTATGATGCTCCAATATTTTTTCTCATTATCTTATTATGCTTCCTACGTGGAAAAGAAGGTCTGTTTTGTTAGCATTTGCATACTTTATACTTTTTTTGTTTTAAAATAAAAAAAACATTAAATAATATTGATTTTAATTGGTCATTTATTGATTTATCTTTTCCAAACAATCAAGCAGAATAAATAAATAAAAAAGCAGAATTAGAGAGCACAGCAGGCATACTTAATAACCCTGCATGTTATTAATTGCAAAGCCCATAATAATCTAAAGAAAGAAGGGAAGCCTAGAATAATGGCAAAGAATATTCAGAGGTTTAGTTATGTTGTGTGTCTTTTGGTCTCAATACTTGTGAATATATTCTTTTTTAGAAAAATGTATTATGAGAAGGATAAGTTGAGTTGGAGCCAAAGAGCAGCAGAAGAAGCAGAAGCAGTAGCTGCAATTTCATGCTCAGGAAATGGAAGAGTATTTGTTGATGGCATTGTAGTAGATGGAAAACCTATATGTGAATGCTATTCTTGTTATGGAGGCAATGATTGCTCTTTGTTATTAGCCACCTGTCCTGCTGATGTTGAAGGGTAATATTCTCTTCTCCTTACTTTCGATTCATGAGGTTTTGGCTTGTAATACATGTCTGCCTTGTGGTGTCAAATATTGCACCAACGTTCCTATTTTCATATTTAATGTGACAACACTATTTCGTAACCTAGAAATAGATAAGTTTACCCCTTGTTTTATGTTTTTTATTTTCATGGAACAATACTAACTTATTTTGGTTTTAAATTTTTACTACCGGATGCATGCACTTAATCCATTCTTCCAAATTTGTTTTTAAACTAGCTCCATACGTATAAAATAAGTTAAAGGCAATAAGTGAGTTTAAAAGCAAATATCCAATTAAAAAGAACACAATAATTTAACTTTGTTAAACAAAATAGAGGAAAATATAAAATTAACGTAAGGAACAAAACATGTTCATGTTTAAAACTGTACTCCATTTGTTATGCTAAATATCAAAGAAGGGAGGATTGTGTTATATTTGGGGTACCATGTTTGCTGGCTTGGAACTATATTGCTCGAAGGGTGACTAGTTGAGTATATATTCTTCCCCAAAAAACTATAGTGTATATAAATAAAAAATTACTTTCTATACATACATACTAAATTTTGAAAAAGCTTCGAACACCCCTAGTGAAATTCCAAACTTAGTCGCTACCTATTACGCATAGGGCTACACCTAATGTATTGGTTGTTTAATGCAGTGGGGATCCCCTATTCTTGGAACCTTTCTGGATGCAAAATGCAGCAAGCAGTGCAGTAGTAGTAGCAGGTTGGCATAGAATGAGTTATTTCTTTCCTAATCAGTCTTACATATCCAAGGAGCTCGAGAAAAACATAAGAAAGATACATGCTATTGCCAAGAATGCTATAACAGATGGAAGATACATTGTTTTTGGAGTTGGCTCTACTCAGCTCCTAAATGCTGCAGTTCATGCTCTTTCTATGGAGAGTTCTTCTTCCTCTCCCTTCACTACGAAAGTGGTCGCAAATAAAATCCCTTATTATTCGGTTCGTTCTTCTCAATCATCCACATCATGAGTTAAATTATGAATTTACTTATATATACTTGCAATGCAACTCAGTTTTACAATATTAATATAGTTTAATTATTCTAGGCTCGGGATGCCATTGAACCCACTGATCCTTTGAGTTATTTGATTTCAAACTTTAACATACATATAAAGTTAGAGCCAAAATTAGAGTATTGTTTAGTAGGGAGCGCTAAAATTCTCTATGTGGGGCTTTCCGCAGCCTGAATCTGGATTAAACACGCCACGAACTCCGGATGATTAAACCAAAAAGAGAAAAAAAAAGGTTATGTACTTTATTTTTTAGATTAATAATCTTTACTTTTTATCGGTAATGACAACAACAACAACATACCAAGTGTAATCCGCTAAGTGGGGTCTGGGGAGGATAGTATATATGCAGACCTTACCCTTACCTTTAAGAAGGTAGAGAAGCTGTTTCCGGAACACTTTTTATCGACGGATACTTATTATTACCTATTAAGTTACCTAAACATATAAATAATTTGCACTGTCAATGTAAAAATAATCATATCTTGAAATATTTGTTCTCGAGGGTAACTTTTTGTTTGCTATCTCCATCTTAGGGAACATAATAAATATATGCTTCTTGAGCATACTTGAAATTAACTAATTTGATTTAACCTTCTCAGCCTTATAAATTTCAAACGGAGTTCTTTCAAACACTTCATTACGAATTTGAAGGAGATTCATCCATGTTGAAGAACAAATCAGATTTTGGTGGAAATGTGATTGAGTTTGTGACTTCACCAAACAATCCAGATGGGAATTTGAGAAATTCAGTTTTAAAAGGCCCAAATGTGAAGACAATTTATGATCGTGCTTATTATTGGCCTCATTACACAGCAATTCCAGCTCCAGCTGATGAAGATCTCATGATTTTCTCAATATCTAAGCTCACTGGTCATGCTGGAAGCAGAGTTGGGTAATACTAGTAAACAACATCCAATACTTAAATGTTTTTTTTTTTTTTTTGCATGAAATNGGCTACTTTACTGAAAATTATTTGTAGGAAAATCAGTAACTTGTTTTCTCATATCTCACAAATTTCCTCCATGCTGAATTTCCAAAGTCAAACCCCGCGCATAGCGGGAGGGCTGCCCTTTTTTTTAATTTTGTATATCATGATAGTTTATTCTTGAAGAATTATATCATTATTTTTTTTTTCCTTTTTACCATTGACAAGAGTAGGTGGGCAATTGTAAAGGATGTGAATGTATATAAAAGAATGATGGATTTTATTGATGTTGCTGAAATGGGGACCTCAAAGGATGGTCAGTTGAGAGCCTTAACTTTACTGAAAGTTGTTGCTCAAGGAGATGACAAGCAACTCTTCAATTTTGCACATCAAATCTTAAGTCATCGCTGGGAAAAATTGAGTCGCATTTTCTCTTTATCTAAACGTTTTAGCCTCCAACGCATTCCAACTCAGTATTGCACATTTCTTGACAGAATCAGAGAACCATCTCCAGGTGACCTTTTTTTAACTCAACAAAACTTTTTACATAAAAAGAGCAAACTTTTTTTTTCATAAAAAATAGCTTTGTTTTAAACTCGTTTTACTCAAGAACACTTTTTGTCTACAAAAGTTGCCACTTATTGAAAATAATACAAATTATATACCGTACCTCTCTATAACAGTCATCCTTTATAACAACACTTCACTATAACAGCCAAGTTTTCTTTGGAACTAATTTTTTATGTTATGTTATAATATACATCTTCACTATAATAGCCAAAAATATCACCACAAATAAGATTATTATAGAGATTTTTAACTGTATCAATATGAGATTGGAAGTAAGCATTCTTTAAACCATTTAAAGTATCAAATCAGACCTATTTACAAGCAGAATTGTGACAATATATAAGCTGGCACCACCTATACAAAACTATATATCTTGCGTATGCCACTGTGTGTGTGTGTTGGGTATTCTAAAAGAGAAATCATTGTGGCGTTGATGGCAGCTTATGCGTGGGTGAAGTGTAAGAGGAAAGAAGATAAAAACTGCACTGAAATCTTCAGAGTAGCAAAAATCATAGGTCGTCCAGGTAGCAAATTCTTTGCAGAAAATCGTTATGTTCGGCTCAGCCTGCTGAAGGGTCAACATGATTTTGAGATGTTGATAAGTCAAATGAAAAAATTGGTTTCTCAAGAAGGAGGAGTCGGTGCACAAGCCATTTCAAGTTTTTAACCACTCTATGATTATGCATGCATACCTCCTATATGTTTAAAAATGTCGTGTAAACTTCCTAGACTTTCAAAATTTCTTTAATAAAACTATGACTTGCCAGCATATATTCAAATTCTCGCCACATGATCCAATTTTATTATTTTCCGTGTAGCAAAGTTATATGTCAAAAGTTTTATTATTAATAAGTTATATCGTATGAAACATTGGAGGGTGCCGCCAAATGACTTGTATCATCAGTATAATCCTACTTAGTGGCATCCTTCCCTCCAAGAACTTTCCCACCTTGCTCTTGGGGAGACTCGAACTCACAACCTCTTGGTTGGAAGTGGAGGTTGCTTACCATCAGAGCAACCCCTCTTGTCCATTATTGACTTTGCACACCCCTTAATAAATAATAAATAAAGGTGCATAATTTATCATGATACCCATATTTTTTTGGTAATACTCTGTGAATATTACCATAACAAACCAAATAATTTACAAACTAAGAGCAGCCAACTGTTCCAATCCATTAGGATTGGAATCTCTCTAGCTCTAAAAAAAATAACAAGGAACTCTAACTATTATCAGTTTTAACTGCTCTAACTACATAGCTTCTATATCAAAATCGGGCAATTTCTAGCTCTTCTCGATCCTGCTAACATACTAATCGTCTCTCTAAGTTCCTTCTTAATTTGTATCTTTATAAATGCATTATTTACATTGATCTTCATGAAATGCTTCCAATTCCGAGCTTGCCAAGTGTAGTATATTATCGCACCAATGATTGCTACTGCTACTTCTTTCCTGAATTGCCTCCAGAGCCTATTCTTGATCCACTGTAAACTCCTGCTAACAATATAGGATGGGATAGTTATTCCTGACCAATTGAGCAGTGCCACCCTTATATTTTGGGTCTAGATACAATCCACAAATATGTCACGACCCCAAACCGGCCCGGTCGTGATGGCGCCTCTCGTGAAGACAAGGCCAGCCGACACAACACTCACCTTAACCCTTTAAGCATTAAGAGTCATTTTTAAATCTTTAAATTAAACAATGTTTCATAATAAAATCCTGGAATAACAGTGCGGAATAAAATACCAGCCCGACATCGGGGTGTCACTAGTCATGAGCAACTATCATGGTCTGAATACAACAAAAGTCTAAAAATGTACTAAATACAGTAGCAACAATGAGGGGAAGGAAGCGGTGCTGCGAACGTCATGCTACCACCTTGCTAACTCTGATGACTCCGCGGCTGAGCTATCAACACCCGCTACCGGGTTCCGATATACTTGAATCTGCACACGAGGTGCAAGGAGTAATGTGAGTACTCCAACCCAGTAAGTAATAAGAGTAAATAAAGGCTGAGCAGTAGGAAATAATGAATCCACGTTTACACTGTTCATGGGGTACTGTTCACGCAGGTGCGGTCACTGTTCACATGTGCGAAAAATGCAGAAACCGCCCAGAAAATTGCAGCAGCTTTTCTTTTCACTAAAAAGGCTCTAACTCCATCATATGAACTTGGAATTCGATGATTCTTGTTCCTATGAGTCACAAATAATAATACGAACATAGCCCTTCAGTCGAAACTCAATTCGGATCTCATTTGATCAGTTCAATACCCATTTCGCTCGTTAAACAATTAACTCATGTTTCGTGTCAAAAACCCAATCGCTACTTGATGAAATTAGACCAAACTTTCCAGATCAGTCCTATAATTCATTATCAAAATTTCAGATGTCTCGAAATCAAATTTTGATCTCTAGAAATAAAAATGGATCTTTGGATCATTACATGCTTATCCTCAAAACGACAAAATCTTCCAAAAACTCTTCCAAAACTTATCCGAGACTCATGGGACCCCGACCAAACATGACAACACACCCCATAACATAATTCAAACTTGTTCCAACCTTCGGAATGCTCAAAACAACATCAAAATATCAAATCACCCTCGGATTCAAGCCTAAGAATTCCAAAACTTCCGAAATCCGAATTCGATCAAAAAGTCTACCAAACGACGTCCAAATGACCTGAAATTTTGCACACACATCACAAATGATATAATGAAGCTACAGAAACTCTCGGAATTCTATTCCAACCCTCGTATGAAAACCTCACCTATCAACCGGAATTCGCCAAAATATTAACTTTGCCAATTCAAGCCAAATCCTTCCACGGACTTCCAAAATGCATTCCGATCGCGCTCTTAAGTAATAAATCACCCAATGAAGCTATACAAATCATAAAATTTCCGATCCGAGCTCATATACAAATAAGTCAACTCTTAGTCAAACCTTTCAAATTCAAAGCTTTCAACTGAGACTGTTCCTTCAAATTCATTCTGATTTTTCCTGAAAACCAAAACCAACAATATACATCAATCATAATACGTTACAAAGGGCAAGTCATGCCCGGGAACTGACGATCAAAGTGCAAAAGTTCAAAACGATCGGTCGGGTCGTTACAAAATAGATGCTGGTGAGTCTCAGATACTCTACAATCACACAATATGCAATTGATGTCCCCATTGATAGGGATGTTCAACCTTATCAGTATTTCTTTAGTCGTTAGTTTGTTTTGATATGCCAGCCAAGTAATCACCCTTTGTCTTGGCAACATTACAACATTCCATATAAGCTCTGCTTCCCTCAGCCTAGTTATGTTTCCCTTCAGTGCTATATAGATGCTAGACACTGAATACAAACCACTAGTGGTCAGTTGGTAAACTACTCTAGTATACCATTGTGCCATAATCTCCTTCAGAGCATTTAGTTTCTTCCAATACTAGCTACAATCCTGTGGTGGTTAGTGGTCCCAGATGTTGTGATTGGACTTCATATAGACTTCATTGACCCATTTTACCCACAGTATATCCTTTTTGTTGCCAACTGCCATAGTAACTTGCCAACAAAAGCTATATTCTACTGTTTACATTCTTTAATGTTTAATCCTCTATATTTTTGAGGTGTACAGACCTTTTGCCATGCTACCAATGATACCTTCCTATGGCCTATAGAATTCCCCCATAAGTAATCTCTATATATTCTGTCAATGCTTTTAACCATACTTTGTGGCAAGATGAATACTGCTCCCCAAAAATTGTACATGGAGAAGAGAACAACATTAATAATTTGTATTCTTCCAGCATCCAAGAGTAATTTGGAATAACCATTGCGAACTCTTTCTTTAATCTTTTCAACCAAAGCAAGACATTTCACTTTGCTCCATTTCTTTGAGGAGAAAGGTAAACTAAGGTATCTTACAGGCAGTGAACCCAAAGAAAACCCTGTGCAATTAAGGATCTCCTGCTTGCATTCCTCATCCATCCCTGCAAGAAAAATATTGGATTTATCTAGGTTAGCCAGAAGCCCAGATATTGCACTGAAGTGGTTGAGTACTTTTTGTGAGCATATGATTTTTGCCCTATACGAACTACTCCTATAAAATCCCAAGAAAATATATTTTTTCTTAATTATTTGCCATTTTGGGAATTTTTGTAGAATTTTTAATAATTGTTTGCATTTTTCTGTGCACGTTTAATTTCATTAAAAATCATAAAAAATGCCAAAATATCATGCATTGCATTTAGATTTTTTTTTTTTACATTTTTAGGATTAATTAATTAATTATTTGCTTTATTAAAAGTAAAAATCACAAAAAATGGCCCATTTCTACATTTTTCCCCTTTATTTTTAAATTATTAATTTTTATCTTTTAATTTAGGATTAAATAACTTTTATAATTTTTGTAATTAGATAATTAGTCTAATTTTATAATTTAGGATTTTTATCTTAGAATTTCATTAATTAAAAAAAAAAAGAAAAAAAAGAAGAGAAAAATGATTTGGGCTGAAATTCATTTGTCTTAACTCCCAACCCCAAATCCCTTTTTACCTCCCCAGCCCAAATACCTACCAGTCCAGCCCCAAAAAATGACACCTGACCCACTTATTTGACCCGCCCGTCTCCCTTTACTGTATAAGATCCTTATATTGTTTCCCCCCAATTCAAACCCTAAACCTAGAAACCACAAGAACGATGCCTACCCGTACCATTCATCATCTTCTTCACTGAGCCAACCTCAACTCGCCTGAAACTCAGGCGAGTTCACTCAAATGGGCCCCTCCTCTCCATGTCACTTTATTCCAATGGATTTCTGTCAGAGAAGAAAGAACATTCCTCCCAAATTTGCACGATTTATGTACTATGGAGCGATTTGCTAGATGAATGCGAGCCGTGGATGGATGTAAATAGATCCATGCCTTCAATTTGTCCCTAAAATCGTTCAAAAACGAGGGGATTTTTCAGATTTTGGGCAGAAGCTTCGGAATTTTTGAGGGTTATATACAAGGTGAGTTTTCTTGTTTAAGGGGTAGAAAAAAAAATCAGAGAAAGATCTAAGAATTTTTTTTCGAAATCTGAGGAGAGTAAAATTTTCTAAGGTTCTTGAAGTTGTCACTTTCTTCAGGCCGTTTCTTTTCAGTTTGCTTCTCTTTAGAAAAATACAAAAAAGTACAAATGGTCCGAGTTCATTTTCATTCGAGTTTACTTCATTTCAAGAGAAAATTTCAAAAAAAAAAAAGAATCACTAAAACAGATTTTTTAGCATTTATTCTTTCTCTTGATTTCTGGTTCTCAAAAGGAAGCTTGATTTAAAGTTTAAGTTAGAGTTGAGTTTGGGGTTCGAAATTTTAGCGTTGATTTGGTTCAAGTTGGTCGATTCCTATTGTCTTGTTGCTGTTCGTTTCAAGGTTTGAGTCGCGGCTTTGTTCGAGTCAGTTTAAATTGTTGTAATCACTGAAGTTTCGTTAATTGAAAGCCCTAATTTCAGGTTCATCTCTTCACTCTTTCTTAATTTGTTCTGGTATTGATCAAAATGTGATGATGCTTGAGACTTTGTTAGATTAGTAGTGTTTATGAGTTGGTTCATGAGAAATCAGCCTGTGATACAATTTTTCTTAACTTCTGTCTTCTTCTTTTTCTTTCTGTTGGTTAATCCCTTAAAAGGGTCAGCACAAAATTGTATAGTAATGACTTGTTTGTCGGTGTTGAAGCGTGAGGGCAACCATCCGAAAATGGTTTAAACAAATTTAGAAACTCGGGTTGGTGTTTTA